CCATCCACCATGCAGATGGAAACCTTTTCATGACTTGGTGTCTAAGACTTAGGGAGTTGTCTGAGTCTTAAGGAGGTTAAATAAAGTTAAATAAATTAAATAAGTTGCCTGACGTCATCAGGCTAATAATTGTCAGAGGTGGGATTTGAACCCTACTCTTCCTGATTCCAGGTCCAGCACTGTACTCATTCTGCAATGAGCAACAAACAACAAAAAGCAGGCACAATTCCAATTGTGATGATAAATTATTAGTCACTCGGTGTTGCAATGTAAGTTTAACTCTAAATGCTTATATAAAGGGCCTAGAATTATGAAGCTATGCCCCTGATCCTCTCCCTGTATCTCTTTCTAGACCAGCCCCCAATCTAGGACCAGTGTCTGCTAATTGAAGTGACAGTAAAATGGTCCAAAGATGGCCAACAGAAAAAGCAAGAACCCTGGATAATCTGTTCCTGGTACAATCAATGATGGACTGCATAATACACATTTGCCAGGCCAGACACATCAAGATGGAATTCCATGACTTGTGCTTAAAAGGAGTTGCTTGGTTATATATGTTTATCAAACAAAGAAAACCTCGAACATTTGTGGTGGATGAGAGAAAAATACCCATTCAATATCTGTTTGGGGTAAGAGTTAATTTTCCTGGGGGGAGGGGAAGCATGAGAATATCCATTAACCTAGACCAGGGGTGGGGAACCTGTGGCCTCAAGGCCATATGTGGCCTTCTAGGTCCTTGGGTGTAGCCTTCTAGGTCCTTGGGTGTGGCCTTTTGACTGAGTCCAAGTTTTACAGAACAAATCCTTTTATTAAGGGGTTTTGTTCAGTGAAGTTTGGATTCAGTCAAAGGGCAGCACTTGAGGACTAGAGGGCCACGTGTGGCCTTGAGGTCACAGGTTCCCCACCCCTGACCTAGTCCATGGAGACAGAACCGAGGGGAAAAAAATCACCAGCTATTAATGTTTTTTTTTTTTACTATACAATTCATCCATTTAGTATGCAAAAGAAACCCTAGGGAATAAAAAGAAACCAAAGATGCTATTAAAGTGTTTCCAAACAAAAACATATGTAATTAATTTCAAACAAGTATGAGCTTTGAAAACTCAGACACTTCAAGCTGATGAGTGAAAGGTGGGATAAATCTACCTCATACTTCCAAACTGATGCTCCCTTGGCTGGGTTGGTGAGACTTGGGGATGATGATGCCTCCCTCCTCCCAGTTTTATAGGGAGGTTGGGAGAATTGGGGCATGAAGCACTCAGAACATTGAAAGAAGAGATGCAGCATAAATATAGACTTGTGTCATAGCTGTCATCAGCTCCTGAAACTAGCCCTTAATGTTTGAAATACTGAATGGGCTTCAGGGCATAAACCATCAGGACCAAGAAAATAAGTGTGCTAATGGGCAAGACAGCCTACCAGTTGCCATTTTCCTCTGTTCACAAAAATCCTCCTCAGATGCCTTGTCACAGTGTGGAAGTTACAAATGGGTTCTTAGAGGCTATCCCAGAAGAACACAAATTCTGACTGGTCTTAATGAGAAGGAAAGGCTGTGAGTATAGGCCAGATGGTGGACCTGTCATCCAAGCTAAATTTTTAAAGGTTCATCACCAGAGGTTAGCCACCAGGAGGTTAACTTCCTCAACCACAGCAACTCATTTAGAAGGACTGCAATTTGTACTTGGAGTGAGAGGGCTTAGGTTCAAATCTCAACTCTATCTCTTACCACCTACAAGCACTTCCTACTCTCTCTAGTCTTTTGTGTTCTAGTCTCATGTCATGAACTGTTTACTAGATGTTTCCATCTGCTGTACTGGAGGCATCTCAAACTCACCATTTCAAAGCCCCTTCGCTTCTCTTCGCTTCAGTTTTCTTATCCATACAATGGAAAGAACTGCAATAGATGGTCTCTAGTTCCTTCTAGCTTTAAATGTATGGTCTTATATACTGAGGAGTCAGAGTGCTGAAATGTCTGGAGAGGATATGGGTTCAAATCCCACTCTATCACTTATTACCTTGTGAGTTTGGGCAAATCACTTTAAGGACTGAATTTTTTTTTTTTTTTTATATCACTGCTAGAGAACCACAAATATAGAGAGGTTAATCTTATCATACCGGAAGTAAGTTACTGAGCAGCAGGAACATTTCCATTAGGGACTTCTCTGCAATCTGGCTTCAGCCTTCATTACTAAAATTGCTCTCTTCACAGTCACCAATGATTTTTTAGTTGTCAAATCTAATGGGCTTTTCCTCAGTTCTCCTTCTAGACTGCCATACAACTTCTAATACCATCGATCATCTTCTCTTGGATACTTTCTTCTCTAAGTTTTCATGTTCTTGCTCTCTCTTGGTTCTCCTCCTGTCTAGTCATTCCTCAGTTCCCTTTTCTGATTCATAATCCATGCCACACCATGCTCTATACTGGGGCCCCTTCTCTCTCTGTAATCTATCACTTAGTAATCTTATGAGCTCCAATGGATTCAATGATCATTTCTATCTAAATGATATCCTCCCCTGAGATCTATATAGCCCCAGTTTTTCTCCTCAGTTCCAGTCCTCCATCATGAACTGCCTATTCTAGCTAGCTGTCCTATAGGCATCTCAAATTCACAATGTTCAAAAGAGAACACATTATCTTTCTCCTCAAATTCATCCATGTTCTGAATTTCTCTTTCATTGTTGAAGCACCATCATCCTTCCAGCCACCCAGGTTAACAACCTTCAAGTCCTCCTCAATTCCTTATTATCACACACTCTCTTTCCAATCAGTAGTCAGATCTTGCTTTCCTCTCCAGAACATCTCTTGGATATGCCCTCTCCTCTCCACTCACACAGCCATCACCCTTATTTAAACCCTCATCACCTCTCAGTGGACTATTCCAATAGCCTATTTGATCTTCCCGAGGTGAGTGTCTGTTCACTGTAAGCCATCGTCCTCATAGTCAACAGTAATTTTCCCAAGCACAAATCTAACCATATCAACCTCTCTATTCAATAAATTCCAACTGTTCTTTTTATCTTAAGGATCAAATATAAGTTCCTCTAGCATTTAAAGTTCTTCATAACCTAGTTCCTTCCTGCCTTTCCATTCTACTTACATGTTAACTCTACTCCATGCTCTCTATGGTCCAGATATTATTATCCTTTGGTTCTTCCATATGAAACTCCACCTCCTGCCTCTGTACTTTTTTCCTTCATGCCTGAAATACTCTCACTCCTCACCTCTGCCTCCTGGAATCTCTGTTTTCCTTCAACACTCAGCTTAAGTGCAGCCTCCTGCAGGAGACCTTTCTGGTCCTGTCTGTTGCTGGTGCTTTCCTGTTTAAGGTTATCTTGTATCCACTTTGTATGTATCTTATGATATACCTATATATGTACATGTTGTCTCTCCTATTAGGATGTAAACTCCTTAAAGGTTGGAGACTGTTTTACTTTTGTGTTTGTATCTCCAGTGCTTACCACAATGGTTGACACACAATAGAAACTCTTGCTGATTAATTCTCTAAAGCAAGGGCTGGCAAACTACCTCCTGAAGAACAAATCCAGCCCACTGCCTGTTTTCTGTACAGCTCAAAAGTTTAGTTTTACAAAAAAAAAAGATTTTTAAAAAAATTCTTATTTAGGGGTAGGGGGAAGTGGGTTTGGCTGCTACCTATTTCTGTACAACTCACAAGTTTGTTTTAAAAACAACAACAACAAAAAAAAATTCTTAATTCTTAATTGGGGGAATAGATATGTCTGTAAGAAACCCACAAGCTTGTACAGCTTGTGTACAAAAATTGTACAAAAATAGGTGAGGTAGTTTTTCCATCCCCTGTTCTAAACCGCAGGGCATTTTAAAAGGTTCCAGCTCACTACAGAGTAAAGTTCAGCTACCCAATTAGCTGCTATTGCAGGCATAAGCAGAGACTGCTTAGAGGTCATGTCCCTACACATCCTAAGTGATAGTTAAACAAACAATTTTTTAAACATGGAGAGAAGATGCTCACTTGGAGTTCTGAGAAAGGGCTATTGTGGGGAGTTGACAAAGAAGTGAGAGAAAAACATTCTAATGGGGTTCATTTGGAGGAAGCTCTTTTGATTCTGTGGCGTACTCCTTATGAAGGAGAAGGAACTTCTCATCTTGCTCTGTTGGTGGTATCTTGGGGATTCCTTAAGCTTCTTTTTTAAGGGTGTATCTTTGTCAAGAGTCTTACCAAGGCAAAGAGCTCCTCTGGGCTTAGGACTCCAAAACAGGTTTATGTCTACATTAGAATTTTTTTAAGTACCCACACCCTAAAACTCCCAGTCTGGATGAGAGGGATAACTTTAAAAAAAATCACTATATCAAAAAAAATGTATAGTCAATATGAAAATCTATCAATAACAAGAAATTTCTCTTTGTGGTAGATACCACTGCAACATAACCTCTAGACTGGAATATAACATCACATAAATGACATAAAATACACATATACCAAAATTACATAATTTAAAAGCTTTTATTTTTCCCACATTTAACTGGACTTCAGAATGGTTAAACTGGAATATTTTCCTAAAGCTGCCTTTCTTTTTCTTTACTGTTCCCCTTTGATGAGAACATCACTTTCTCACCTGAGGAAATGGGATACTTTTAAGAATTGAATTTTTTAGCAAGTCAGAATGGTTGAGAGGGTCTGACTCAGCAACCTCCTTGTGGTGAAGGAAGACCAGATGGTCTTCTTGGTAAGGGCCTGACCCAGAGGGCTTTTGCTTCTGCCTCTGCTCCTATTACAGTTTAAAAATACTAGAGGAACCCATTAGAATCCTCCAGTACTGAATAGGGAAGCCAGCAGTGGTAAAGAAAATGCTCCATTAATCCCCTCCAGGTCTTGCCTCTGAATTCTCCATCCTTGCCTCCATCCTGGCTTCTCAATACTGCAGGCCCTTTCATGGGCCACTTTAGCTTAGCAAACACTTGGCTCCATACACCACACACTTCTGTGTTGTGGTCTAACATGTGCTTATGGAATTCTTCATGATGTGCAAAGTTCATCTCCAACCAGAAAGTTTATTGCTCACAGTTTCAAGCTTGAGCTTGGAGGGACTGTCTCTGATTCTCTTGAGAACAATGGCATCATAGCAATTGAACTGTGAAAACAAAAGCAAGCACTGGTAAACTGAATGTCCAAGGAATGGTGCCTGATGACCGCCGAGCCTGTATTATGGCAAACACTGCATTTGTGTGATTCGTGGGGACTTCCACATTGCAAATCATCCCTTCACAGCATGATCTGCATTCCTATGAAGGAAGATTCAGAGAGAGGAAAAGGAAGTGTCAAGGAAAGGGTCAACAAATACCAAAAAAAAAAAAAAACCAAAACAAACAGGGAGGAATAAGAAAGGGAAAAGAGAAAAACAAAAGTAAATTAAAGAAGGCAGTTATTAGGTGATTCCCAACCCCCCCAAAAACCCCACAAAACTGATTATCCAGACTATTAACCAATCAAGTCCTATTTTTCTGCTGTCACTATTTTGTATTATATCCCTGATTTATCAGCACCTGACAGGAGCCTGAGCTAGAGAAAGGATGGAAAGGGATCAATAAGGAAATAAGCACCCTTATATTCAAGTGAGTTCACAATCTTTTATGTTTGCCAAGATAAGGCCTTGAAAACAATGAGAGGAAGGAGCTTTTGTATTACCTATTAATTTGCTGAGATTATACTTGTTAGCAAAGATAAGAATGCTTATCACTTCCAGACTCTTGTAGGTTAGCACTACTGTTTAGATGATATATTATGGTCATAGATGTGGGGATGGGAATCTGAAATCTAATCTGACTCCTTCATTTTTTGTTAAGTTGTTTCAGTTATGTCCCACTCCTCGTGACTCAATTTGGGGTTTTCTTGGCAAAGATACTAGAGTGGTTTGCCATTTCCTTCCCCAGCTCATTTTATAGATAAGGAGCTAAGGGTTAAGTGACTTGCCCAAGGTCACACAGCTAGTAAGTGTTTGAGACTGAGTTTGAACTCATGACAGAGAAGGAAGACTCAGAAAAGCTAACTGATTTGCCTAAGGTAACATAAGTTGTAGCAAAGTCCAGGATTGGAAACCCAGTCTTCTAATTCCAATACAAGCACTCTTTTTCCTGCCCTGGTGTAGTTAAGGGATCCATGCTTAGCCTTGTACTACATAACTATTTTTTAACAATCAGTAACTTGAATAAAACCATAAGTGGCATCTTTTTTAGATCTGCAGATGACACAAAGCTTGTAGGCATAGCTAACACAATGGATGAGTCAGGATTTCAAAAAAGTTCAACAAGTTAGAATAGTGGGCTGAATCTACTAAGCTGACATTTAATAGGACACTAGTACAAAAGATAAACTTTAAAAAGATAAAACTGAGAAGGATTGATTAGATATGAGCCAGAAAGGACCTCGGAGGGTATCCAGTCCAACCCCTACCTGCCCAAGAAGCCCCTTCTCAGTATCCTGAGATAATTCACAGAGATGATCAATTGAAAGAACTGGAGATGCTGCCTGGAATTAAGAAGACCTAGGGGAGTCATGTTAACTGTCTTCAAATAACAGCAGGCCATTGTATGGATGAGGGACAGGAATTGGTCTTTGTGGCCCCAGTATGTTATTCTGAAAAAGATTTGGGGGCTTTAGTAGACTACAAGTTCAATGTTAAGTCAACAATGAGATACTGTAGCCAAAAAGTAAATGTGATCTTGGGCTACATTAAGGAGTCATAATGACCCGAGTGAGAGAGGCGATCATCCTACTGTCCCCTTCCTTAGGCAAGTCACATGTTGTGTCCCATTCCCACTGGCAACATTTTAGGAAGGACACTGGAAAGCTGGAGAGCAACCAGAGGAGTAAGGCCAGAATAGTGAAAGGCCCTGAGACCATGCCCTATGATAACTATTGTCATGATAACTATTTTCAAGGAACTGTAGCACCACCATATGGAAGAGGGGCTCGACTGGTTTGTACCGTTGCTCAGAAGCAATGGATGGAAGTTGGAAAGATGGATTTTGTCTCAATGTGAAGAAAAACATTCCTAACAATTAGAACTATCTCAAAGTAAAATGGTCTGCTTGGGATTCTCTCCTTAATAGGGATCTTCGAGAGAAAGTTAGAAGAGTATTTGTCATGGACTCTTGGTCAAGTAAAGGTTGGACAAGATGGCCTCTCCGGTCCCTTCTAGTTCAGATTCTCCATCACAACTTCCTGTCTTCTGACTATACAACCAGGGTTCCTAAAATCAAGTCTGCTATCTACAAGACCAGTACTCTTTTCCGTTGTCTTTACATTTAAAGTATGAAGAATCAAGAAAATGTCAAATATCTTTTCAAATTTTCCCCAAGCTTATTGGTTACACTTATCTTTCTATTTCTCTGTATATATAGAACACTGGTCACAGAATATTATTGTACTAAAGGACCTGAGAAATTAATTTCCTCATTTTTATGTATGAAAAAAAAAAACTAAGACTCAGCAAAGTCAAAAGATTTCCCAAGGTCATAGAGCTAATTAATGGCAAAACCAGAACTAGACCCCATATTTCCTGATTCCAAAATGAGTAGCTTGCTGTTCTGGTTTTCACAACACCATGATGCTTTTCTAAAAAGCCAGGATGAGGGGCAGCTAGGTGGCACAGTGGATAGAGCATCAGCCCTGGAGTCAGGAGGACCTGAGTTCAAATCCAGTCTCAGATCAGACACTTGACACTTACTAGCTGTGTGACCCTGGGCAAGTCACTTAACCCCAATTGCCTTGCAAAAAGAATGAATGAATGAATGAAGCCAGGATGAGAAAGGTATAAGTTTACCTCTAACAAACAAATATCCCGTAAAAAGAAAATGGATTAGTCATCTAGGCTCATCTATAAGATACCTATAATGACCTACTTCAGATCTTTTTTTTTTTTTTTAAATTAAGCTCTCTCAGAGCCAAGCGAAACAAAGTTTCTTCTGGCAAAAAAAAAAAATCATCATAACAGACACCTCCGCCCTCTCTACTCCTGTTTTCCAAACCAGTTCATCGAACAACTATTGGACAAGAATAGAGTCCCAGAGCTATAATTTGTAATACAATTCTCTCAATGGATGACTTGAGAATCAGTGTTAGACTACAAGGGTAGGCCTCCAGCAATTCTCCTGGAGCTTTTGGATCACAAGTAAAACCAAATCATGGAAATTGTCTTTTTTTCCATCAATGTGAAAGTGAAGCTTTATCTCGTCAATAGTGTCACTTTCATTCAAGTATCTCAAAGGTATTTTCTCTCAAATTATAAATGTATTCAAACATATTCTGCTCCCAGGTTTCTTCCTACTGGACAGAAATTGCACAAATGTCTACTATAAATAATAATAATGGCTACCATTTATATAGTGCTTTAAGTAGAAAGCACTTTATAAACATCCCATTTGATCCTCACAATAATCTTGTGTAGTAAGTGCTATTATTACTAATTTTATAGATGAAAAAAATAGAACCTGAGGGAGGTTAATTAAGTAGTCCTTGGTCACAGAGCTAGTAAGTATCTGAGGCAGCATTTGATCTCTGTTTTCCTGACACCAAATCCAGCAACTCAATCTGCTAGGTCAAGTGCCCTCTCTGTAAAGAAAGACCTGAATGGCCTGAGCTAAATTTAGCAGTATAGCAACTTTTGTTCCTATATCTCACAGACACAGACACAGACTCAGACACACACACACACACAGCACACACACACACACACACAATTCTTACTGTTTGTCCTTCATCTCGGTGGTGGTGACAGCCAACAAAATGACATTCACTCTTTGAAGCACATTTTTTGGTGATAGATGTACTCCTTCCATGGCTGGTGAAGTGATGAACTGTTAAACAGTATTGTGTATCTAAGCAGAAAGACCAAGACAAGTTCATAAGGGTCTGAGGAGAAAGAGACAGACAGAGACACAGAGAGAAGAGAAACAGAGACATGAGAGAGGAAGGAAGGGAGGAAAGAGGGAAAGAAGGAGAGAAGATGGAGAGGAGAAAGAGAAAGAAAAAGAGAGGGAAGGAAGGAGGGAGGGAGAGAGAGAAAGATTGAGAGCGAGAGATAAAGAGAGAGAGAGAGAGAGAGAGAGAGAGAGAGAGAGAGAGAGAGCTTGAATAGAAAGACATCCAGTAGATAATTTGAATTAACTGGGTTTAGATTGACTAACATTTTGCCTAAAACAAAACAACAGCTTGGCTTCTTGTCAGCAGGACAGAAATGCAATCATTTCAAACTGTGCACCAATATAATATCATTATTTGACTAGTCAGTTCATCAAGTGTTTATTCTAATTTTTCTGCATTTATGATCCCTCCATTTTGCTTTGATTATTCCTCTTCAGTGGATTTTTCTTTTTCTTCTTCTCAGGCAGCTCTCACTTCTCTCTCCCTGCTTTTCTTCCCATATTTATTTACTTTGCTTTGGACTTTTTCTACCCAGAATCCTCCTTTCACAGGAACCTTCACCTTTCAGAGGCTCTCTCTTAAAGCATTCTCTAGGCACTCCAAGATACTTCCCTTGGCTAGAGATACCAAGAGGGCAGAGAGAGAACCAGTGGACAAATATCACTGCAACAAGTCTAGACTACCCCTTGTTTTGAAGAGATCTAAATAAAGTTCAAACGTATCTAAGATATTTTTAATCGCTATTTCCAAAGGGAGATCAGCCTAATGCAACAACTAAATATTTCCTCATAAGCAAGAAGAAAAATGATTGAAAACTGGTAACAATGCATGCTTATACAAAGTGATGTGCATGCTGAAGCCAGCTAAAAAACCCACAGTCAATGTTCACTTAAATGAAACAATAAATATCATTCAAATCATATTCTGTGATATCCAATCCCATTATTAATAAAGTACACAAACTAGAGCAGTGTAACTGCTAAAAGGGGACTAATTATTGTATAAGATACAGTAATAACAAAGTACAATAGCTAAGGAACAATTTTTACTAAATATAAAAGAAAGGTAAGAAATTATATCATTAGTAATAAATCCAGATTATTAGCATCATTGGAGCCTGGGTGAGTATGCAGTCACTCAATTTTTCTATCCACCTCAATCCCATAAACATAAAAGTTTCATAACACTAGCATCAACAATCAAAATGAAAGCCACAGTTTCCCTTTTGATCACACAAGGGGAGAGCATGTTGAATGTGGGACACCACTTTAAAATTTAGAAATAGCAAAGAACATCCCAGTTAAAAATGGCTTCACTTAACATATGACAAAATGGATACAAAATTCACAGATCAAGCAAGAAGCAAGTCCTGGATCAACTCCAAAAGATGAAAAAAAAGTCAATGAGGAAAGTGAATAAGAGGACAGACATTGATGTCCCCACTTTCCTACTTCCCTAAAGCATGTTCAAGATTAAGAGGGGAAATCTAAAATGTATTGCTCAAAAGATGACATCCATCCATGGCATGAATCAGAAAGGATAGACATCAAACAGCAGTGGAAATCTTGGTTTCAAAGTTGCCTGGAATATAAGCAAAACCTTAAAGAGATTAGAGGCTTTGAAAGTAGGCTATATTTTACCTCAATTCTTACCTAGCCTTTAACTACTGAATGGATGTTGCCTCAGACAAACTGAGACCCAGGAAAGACCTTAGCTTAAAAAGGCCAAGGTCTACCACTGCCAGTCATCCTGACCTATGTCTTGCCAACTGGACCCAGATGACACTGATGACTTTGCACAGCTCTGCCTCACTTAAATCCAATTCACTTGCAAGTCAAGACACCACCCTCCAGATGTCATTGGTCTTCTTTGAAAACAAAGGATAAGCAACAATGAAAAATGGGGACACTGGCTTAAAATGTCATAATAAATCTATATAGAACTTTTAAACCGATTCAAGATAAAGTACTGTTAGACATTAACAACTTTTTTTTTTTCAATTTCACTGGTACTTGAGTTACAATCTGTGAGAGAAACAGTATTTTCCAGGGCCCTGCCACACAGGCTGAACCAGCTTTTCCTAAAGCCTAATTCCCTGCAGGGAAAGCTCAGGCTGTTGAAACAGCTTCCTGATGGGCTGGATACCAGAAAGTCAATGTACATGGAGTCACCTGGCTCTTCCCCTAGGCTTCTGACAACCAGCCATTATAGACAACATAGAGGCAGGGAAGCTGTGACCAACACAACCAATGAAGTCTGCTTGCTGAATGTAACTTCCTTGCTCTGAATAGCTTGCCCATGCTAGAGCTAAGCAAACTTCCTTTTTTCAGTATAACTTTTGTAAGTGGAAATGCCATCTGTGAAACCAGAAAAAAACTGTGCTTTCAATTGGCTGAAGCCCATAAAGGAAAAAAACTCTTTTTCTAATTCCTCAAATACATTTTGCCCCTCTCTCAAGTTTTGGAAGCCAAAGGACAATTAATTAATCCTGCATTCTATACATTCCTAGTTTCCTTACATTTTTAATCATAAGATTCTATTCCTAAGATATTAGGACCATGTTCCTTCCCTGCTCATGAAGGTTACTTATTGCCTCTACGATAAAACAGAAACTCCTCTGTTTGATATATAAAACCCTTTATATTTGGCTTCAGCCTCCCTTTCCAGGCTTATTTCATACTTTTGTTGTTGTTGTTCAGTCTTTTTTTCAGTCATATCTGACTCTTCTTGACCCCATTTGGTGCTTTCTTGGCAAAGATACTGGAGTGATTTGCCATTTCTTTCTCCAGCTCATTTTACAGATGAAGAAACTAAGGCAAACAGGCTTAAGTGACTTGCCCAGGGTTACACAGCTAATAAGTGTCTGAGGCTGGATTTTAACTCAGGTCTTCCTGACTCCAAGCCGGACATTCTATCCACTGTGCCACCTAGCTGCCCCTCCTAAAAAGTAGAGAAACTCCTATAATTTATTTAAGTAGTAGGTATGTCTGATATGGTAGAGTGAGCACCAAACCTTTTTGAAGTTACTAAACTATATAGGTTATCAGTTTTGTATGTGTTTCTTCTAACAAGTACCCGTTAGTAAATGTCTTTATTAAGGACTCTAGCTGGAAATAGGGCCTAAGCCAGTTTGCAAGATCACAGGATACATTGTTCTTGTGTTGCATACCTACAGGACCTCAGCCTACTGGTATGCTAATCCCATTAAGCTCAAAGTCTATGCCATGGGTGAGTCAAGAAAAATCTAAGTGATATGAGATCATTAAAGAGTGTCTTCCAAACTCCAGCACACTTACTTTGTGGACACCATTTATCTTCTGCCCATCTGTTACAGTTATAATTATCCCCGGCATTTTCACAGGTAAAACATTTGAAGCTGTTTGGAAACGGTGTGGCTTTAAAGAAATTTGAAAAGTTAGATCAGGCTGACAAAAAGAAAATATCTCAAGCATCATACAATACAGGAGGTTTCTTTGGTTCAAATGAGAGTCAGATATTTCCACAGTTGAATCACAAATGGACCTTAAGAAACAAGATTAAACTCTTGCTGTGAACTATCAGGCCTATTTTTATTACTTGTGACTAAGTAAAGTGACTAGTGCCTCAAGCCACCTACGGAAATCATGTTATTGTTTTATAATCATAATAATACTTTGTAGTTGTTAAGTTTGATAATACACAATTTGACCATATCTGTATATTTTGTGAGCCATAATCCAACAAGATCCCAACCTTGCTGCTCTTATATATGCATTTAAAATAAAATGATTTTATTTGTTCGTGCTTATGGTGATGGTATTACACTTTGGCTAGGAATTTTATAGGCAGCATTATGTAAGAGAGAGCCAGCATAGAAGAGTAAATTGAGCACAAATCTTGTGGTCAGAAACACTTGGGTTCAAGTCCATCTCTGACATATGTCAATAAGTCAACAAGTATTTATTAAGTGATTACTATGGACTCTGTGGCAGGCTGTGTGACCACAGACCATTTACTTAATTTCTCTATGTGTTAGACAACTCTCTACATCTATAATCTCAGGCTGATCTTCTTTTCCTCCTTTGGAGGTGGTTTCACACACTAATGGGAGAATATAATGTGGTACAGTGATGCTTTAACATTTCTATACCAGGCTAAATCCTAGAAGTTTTGTTTTTTTTAATTTCTTGATCAGAGATTAAAAACAACAACAATTAAAAAAAAACCAAACCTTCTACCCAGAGTCAGGGACCTGAATCAGAATGGCTGGTCAAGAGCCCAAAGGTCAGAGGCCAGAAATTCTATCCTGATGGCTTCCATGCTTGAGGAAACTAATGCCAGTGTGTAACATATTGGATTAAACACTCACTCCCTCCTTTTGGAAACTGAAGAAATGAGAGATTTAAGTATGTTCCCACCCTGTCTTAAATAACAGTAATAATAATAAGCCAGCATTTATGTAGTACTTTAAGATTCACAAAGTGCTTTATAAATATGATCTCCTTTGATCTTCACAACAACCATGGAAAGCAGGTGTTATTACCATTATCATCATTTTCAGATAAGAAAATTGAGGCAAATTGAGGTTAAGTTAAGTGACTTGTCCAAGGTCACACAACTAGTAAGTGTCTACAGGCAGATTTGAAATTAGGTTTTCCTGACTCCAGATCCAGCATAAAGAACAGGCATGAGATAACAACTGAAAACAAAGAAACAAACAAAAAACCCAAACCCAGATCCCTGGATCATTGCTATAGAGCTAGAAAGAATCTCAGAGGTCATCTAAACCAATCCCTTCATTTTACAGAAGAGGAAACTGAAACCCAGGGAGGTAACGATTTGTCAAAGATCATTCACATAGTAAATGTCAGAGGCTGGATTTGAACCCTGGTCCTCTGATTCCAGAGGCAGGGCTCTTTTCACTATACAACTCCTTCTTCCATAAAAGATGATGGTTCTCTAAGTAAAGTCCAGAGAGCACAAAATAAAGCATCATAGACAGATACATTTTTAGCTTTGCTTAGATTTTTAAATGTATCCAGCTAAATTTGCCAAAGATCAAAGTATTGTGAGAATCTGTACTTCTATCGTTTTAACATCTAGGCTTTTGCATCTTTGAATGAGCCTTTAGGGCAAAACCTATACTTTGACATTGCCTTATGTAACTAAGCTCCCAGGACACTGGAATTATTACATTTTAAATTGGCCATTAATAACACTCCTGAGTTTATGCATAGAGATGTGCACTTGCTGTCTCACATGTCCTTAAGGAAAAGAAATTCAAATTAGGATAAAGCAAAAGGCTACAAAGCATTGGGGCAGGAGATCAGGCAGCTCTCATTGGGCCCACGTGATGAAGTGGTTGTTTAGAATTCTCTTTTTCAATAAATAAACATGAAAACCAAATTGCTCCTCAGATCCATTGAAGTTCTATCTTCTCCAATAGAACCCAAGTTCATAGCTGTGATCAGACTTTGGCTTTTAAAGAGCCCAAAAGAAAGCATTCTGTATGCTGAGCCACATTTAGACAAAGTGCTTATGAATGGCCAAGGAAAAATACACACAGGCTTGCACACACACTTGGACGCGCGTGAGTGTGCACACACACACACGTACAAATAAAACCACTATTTCCCCCGGAACGAACCCCATAACGAGTTGCCATTTACTTATTTGGAAGCTGAATATTAATGGTGCTCTTTGTATCTATTGCTGGTGATGATTTGCTACAATATTAATGCAGATGTAGAAAATATAACCCCCCAAAATTCCCAAGTAGTTATTCATTTTCAAAAATGCTAATCTAGTCATTTGGGGAAATTAGTATGGTATCAATTACGCAGAAACTTTTGCAAGCTAGGATTTTTTTTCTCTCTCCTATACTTTATGAACCTCTACATAAGACACTTCTGCAATGCAGAGGTCAATAAGAACCCTGCAATTTTTCTCACCTAAACCATGGAGAAATAGGAGAATCAAAGGATGAGTTAAAGGGGCAATGCTTAAATATACTTGAAAATGAACAAGCAGGATGACCCCAAGACAGCCAAAGCCCCTCCAAGGTGTTAAGAAATTAAGATGATATCTTGGTCCTGGTGTCTGCTAAACCACAGATGATGATGAACACCTGCCTTAGTCTATGCAGGACCCAAGCATACCCAGAGGAAGGCAGAGTTGTGAACTGCTGAAACAGATATCAAAGGGGATCACTGCCAAGGCAGATATACCTGGGCAGCAACCAGCTACTTACGGTCAAGAGGGGGTCTCACGCTGTAGAAGTTGATGTTCTTGGCCAAAGCCCAGTTTTCAGAGAAGATGAAGATCTGAAGACAAGCTACAGCTAACCCAGGACCAAGGGGCAACATGCTGCCTTGATGCACTGAAAAATCCCAACTTCATAAACCTAGAAAGGCAAAAGAGAGCCATGTCACAGGCAGAACACAAAAGAGAAATGGGAGAACCACATTGAGCGTCTGTTTTATAGCCCATTTATTCAAAGGTAGTAAATGTTTTTCTGGCTAGAACCTGGGAACATGCTGAGATCCATCCTGATCCGAAGAAAGTTGAGCAGGTACTGCCTTCTCCTGGTCAGGCTCAGACACTAGACTCAACTCTTGGTTTCTGCAGGGTGCACAATGAGTTATTTTGTTCACAAAGGAAAACCAGTAGGTACATGCATGAAAATACCACATACCTGGACATCATGCTTAATTGCTGAGAAACTCGCCCATTAGGTTGAACAGAATCTTAAGCCCTTCCTGGTCTCCTCCACTGCTAGTGCCTTCCCCTCAAAATCATCCTGAATCTATTTTCTGTCTACCTATACCTGTACATGTCATCCTCACTGATCTTCCAGACTATAAGCTCCCTGAGGACAAGTAACGTTTTGTTTTTGTCTTCAAATTCAGCCTCCAACACTTCCTAGCTGTGTGACCCTGGGCAAGTCACTTAACCTGTTTGCTTCATTTCCTCATTTGTAAAATAAGCTGGAGAAGGAAACAGCAAACCACTCCAGTATCTTTGCCAAGAAAACCAAATGGGGTCGCAAAGAGTCGGATATAACTGAAATGACTCAATAACAACAACAAAGCTCCTTAGCATCTGACATATAGTAGATGCTTAATATATACTTGTCCATAAAGAAGGAGGCATTATGAGAGGCGGAAAGCTGAACCATAGCTGGGAGGGGGTAGTCTGAGTGAGACTTAAGAGGTGGAAGTGTTGGGGCAGGTAGGTGGCGCAGTGGATAGAACACCGGCCCTGGATTCAGGAGGACCTGAGTTCAAATCCAGCCTCAGACACATAACACTTACTAGCTGTGTGACCTTGGGCAAGTCACTTAACCCCATTGCCTAGCCAAAAAAAAAAAAAGAGAGACAGAGATGGAAGTGTGGTAGCAGCTAGATGGTACAGTGGATAGAGCACCAGCCCTGGACTCAGAAAGACCTGAGTTCAGATCTGACATTGGACACTTGATACTTACTAGCTGTGTGACCTTGGGCAAGTCACTTCACCCCATTGCCTTGCAAAAAAGAGTTTAAAAAAGAGAGAGATGTGAGGGTTAATATCAACAGTTAGAAGAAGGGGATAAAATGGAAGTGGTGGAGCAGCAAAGAAAAATGTCAAGTTATTTCACAATTTTTTTCTAAGGGCTAACCTTGTCCCAAAGACCAGGAGGTAAAAGCTTAACGTCCTCAGAGAGGAACTCCCAAACCACCCTCTCTTCCCACCCTCAGCCTCCTCTCTACTGAAAACAGGGTCCAAAGGAAAAGAGAGACCATAGCTCCTCCCTCTCCATTAACTTGCTCTGGAGTGCCTAGGGCGATACATCTCTAAGTTGATTGTAAGGAAGTCCAAGCCTCACTGCACACAAGAATCAATCATTCTCCTGGATAATACCTTGTAGAAAGAAGTGAGAGTGAAGAAGCTCTGGATGAAGAGAATGTATGTGATGTTAGTTTTGGATAAGAGACAGTTCCTAGAGCTGAGACTACTATTGGCTAACTTCAACACCCTTGAGAGGCTAAGAGTGACTTCTTAGGAGTTGAAGTCAAAAGTCCTGGGTTCAAAATCCCAGCAATGACACATCTAATAGCATCCAAATCTCAGGCCATTCTATTTTTGGACAATTATAAATTTTCTTTTACATCAAGCTTTAATCTGCCTCTCTGCAGCTTCAAGTAAATGGGAACACAATTAAAAAGAAAGTGTCAATACATCACTTGAAGGTTGCTAGGTTAGTAAATGTTTGATGTATACTCTAAATCCTTCACCAAATTTGAAAAGTTAAATCAATAAGCAAATGTGATGGTTTGAATTTCATAGGATCATAAATCTGGAGATTGAAAGCCATCTGGGGAAAGATAGTGCCAGGCGCTGTGCTAAGCACTTTACAAATATGATCTCATTTATGTAATCCTCAATACAAGCCTTTGAGGTAGGTGCTGTTATTATCTCCATTTTATAGTTTTGAAGAAACTGAGGCAAACAGAAGTTAAGTGACTTGCCCAGGGTCACAGAGATAGTAAGTATCTAAGGCTGGATTTGAACTGAAGTCTTTCTGTCTCCAAGCTCAGGGCTATAGCTATCCACCTGAATGCTAGTTAGTCAAAATCTCTCATTTTACTCCCTCAGCTAATGAACTAAGACTCATAAAGTAGAAGTCATTTGCCCAAGGTCAAAGAGGTAGTGAGCAACAGGTAAGATCTAAACCCAGATCCCCTGGTCCTCTGACTCCAAAACCAGTGTTCTGCCCACTGTACAACACTGCCTAGGACAAGTGGTCTTTCTATTCTAATTACTAGATTACCATGGGATTTTGGACAAGCTTTATTACAGTGGAAAAGGCCATTTTCTAGGACAGCATTGAGAGGAGGAGAAGACCTTCCACAAAAAACAATCTAGTCCTGGAGTTCTCCATTTTTTGTGTGCTTTATCAACTCCTTTGCAATCTAGCAAAGCCTGTAAACCCATTTTCAGAAGTCAAGTCGATAAGTATTTGTTAAGTACCTACTATGTTCGGGGCACTGTGCAAAATTCCGAGGATGCAAAGAAAGGCCAAAACATTCCTTACCCTCAAAGAGCTCACAGTCTAATGGGGGAAACAATATGCAAACAACTATGTGCAAACAAGACAATCTCATAGGAAAGGCACTAGCACTAAAAAAGGAAGACGGAAGGCTTCTAGGATTTTAGCTGTGACATGAAGGAGTCAGAGAAGCCAAGAGGTGGACATGAGGAGAGAGGGCATTCCAGACATGGAAGACTGAGTCTAGAGAATGAATATTCTGTGCAAGGCACAGCAAAGAGGCCAGTGTTGCTGTACCAGAGAGTCTGTGAAGGAGAGTAAAGTATAACTGGGAAGGGACCAAGTTATAAAAGGCTTTTGAAAGCCAGAGTATTTTATATTTGACCCTGGATGTGATAGGGAGCCTCTGGAGTATTAACGTATGGGGGGAGGGTGTGAGAAAGAGTGAGGAGGCAAAGATGGCAGCTAGGTTGCAAGCCTGGGTGACTGGGAGGATCATGGTGACCTCAGCAGCAACAGGCAAGCTAGGAGGAAAAGATTTAAGTGGGGAAATAATAAGTTCGGTTTTGGACATGTTGAGTTTAAAATGTCTACAGTAGAGAAGTAAACATATAGCCAAACATATACAGCCCACAACATTTCCAACTGTGCCCTGAACCAGATTAAAATGGAAAATATTTAACAAACAAAAAGACAACGAAACACAGATAATATTACATTTTAAAACTAAGTCAATATGTGACCCACAGAGATCCTTATGTATGGATTAATGGGCCCCTGTTTCTATATGAGTTTGACACTGAAAAAAAATTTATTTTGCCATTATATTAATAATTAATTATTAAATTAGGATCCAGACTTCTCTCCTTTTATTTCTTCATTTTAAGGCACAGCCCTTGTAAAAAGTCAGTCTCCGAAAGACATAACTAATTGATGAAACTGTCCTAACCCTCAGGGAACATGCTCCTTGATCTTGGGATCTTGAGCCTGACCCTATCCAACCAGGAGATCTTACTTCTGTTTGAGTGTAAACAAAATCCAACCTAGGTGAGTTCTTGCCCCAAAGAGAACAGTTCCTGTCCTTGTACTCCTCCATTAGAATTTAAGGTGACCCAGCTCATGAAGGAGGAAACCACCCAGAGTGGTCTAGGTGGAGATGAATTCCCTTTCCAGATTGCTGGAGGCAGCTGAGTCTCATGATCAAGCCACATTCTCAGCAGGAGAAGCTAAAGACTCCTAGCCCACCTCCTTATTAAATGTCCACCAATCAGGGCTGATTTTCACTTGTCAGGCACATTCTCTTATACAAAGGTTTTTAAAGCATTCAGTGTCTCCACTGTGGGGTCTTTGGTTTTCCGAGAGAAATCACTGGCCATCAATTTATTGATTAATTAAAGCTAGCTTAATAAATTGAATATTAATTATCCAGAAACTCTATCTCTCGGGATTTTTCATTCATCACAACACTACTGGTCTACAGTACATCCAATTTGAGGTGTCCAATAAACGGTTGGTGTTGTGAGAATAATGTTTCTAAAAAGAAACAAAAAAATTACATAGGATTACAAAGGAATTATATTGAAATAAAGATATACACATATGTATATCTGTACATATGTACATATGTATATGTATATGTATATGTATATGTATATGTATATGTATATGTATATTTTTCCCTCTAAGTTCCTTGAGCTGCCGAAATCTATCCACAATCCTCTTGTGGTTCTGTGGACCTCAAGTTAAGAACACCTAATCTAGTTCAAAGCTAATAAAGAAATCTAAGCCACATAGAGATTCAGAAACTTGCCTGATGTCACACAGACAGTAAATGTTAGAGCTAGGATTGACATCCATGCCCTCTGATTCCAAATCTAGTTCTCTGTTTTATCAGCAAAGTATCAAACCTAAGGGGCAGTGTGGTCTGGTGGAAAATGCAATAGATATAGAATCTGAGATCCCAGGTTCAAATACTACCTCTGCCCCTGTGTGACTTGATCATGTAATCTATCATCTCTGGACCTCATTTTCCTCAACTATAAAATGAGGGGCTTGGATTAGATGACCTCCAAGATTCCCTGGAGAATGAAATTTTCAAGATTATTTGAATCATGGATTTATGACCATTAGTGATGTTTGTCCTCAGTGCAAGATGTCCCTTGAATTATTAGCTAATGACAGTATTAAGCCACCACAATTACCAAGACTTTTTTTTTTTAAAATAAGCTTTTGTTGGGGTCAGCTAGGTGGCACAGTGGATAGAGCACCGGCCCTGAAGTCAGGAGGACCTGAGTTCAAATCTGGCCTCAGACCAAACACTTGACACTTACTAGCTGTGTGACCCTGGGCAAGTCACTTAACCCCAATTGCCTAAA